AAGCTTCCTAAATGTGTCCCTTATCTCTCATACCGGTGTGATTGTCTTTATATTCTTGCCTTCTTTCACACATAAGAACACTGAGATTTGGTGAAGTAGAGGTGCTGCCTTGGGGATACATAGATATACTCCTCAAGACCCTCTATCTTGAAGCCCAGGACAGTCACTACTGCAAATAATTTGCATATCAGTTTTTCATAATGACTTTAAAAGACATGCAGCCCTCTAGATTCTTCAGATCTGCTCTCCCAGTGGTTCACAAGGAACTTTTTAATGCCCACCATACCACACATAGAATGAAAAACCACCAGAATCTTGGGTTTCTCCAGTTATGAAATGTATCCAGGTGTGTTATCTCTTCAGGAGTTCTAGTGGAAGGTAATGCAGTTGACAAAGAAATGTAGCACTGAGTGACTGCCCAGAGTGATGCCTCAAACTGTATGGACAATTGATGAAATTGTGTGAATATATTAGCATTTTATTATGATTGCATGATTCTTATTTCAATTTAATTTTAATCTTGATGATCCATATTTTTTAAATGCTCTGTAGAATTTAGGAAAACAGAAAGGATCTAGACCTATGTGTGAACATTTGTATCCATATTCAAAATTAAACACTTATGGATTTACCTAGCTTGAGAACCTTTCACGGAAGTTATAATGCATATGTAATGAGCTAATGTTGTGTTGGGGTTGATATATTAAAAATAATGTAAATTATATTTCCAGTTTATTCCAATCTGGAAAATTCTTCCTAGAGTAATCTGTTGAAATTTAGATACTGCATTTAAAAATAATAATAGGTAAAGTAATATCTGGAACTTGAGCATGTGATGGCAAGAAATTTATAGATGAGTGCATATTATAATTTGAAAGCATAGCCTGACACAGAAAAGGTAAAAAAAATAGCATATTCACAATAATAAAAGTTGAATTTTTATAAAGAAAAACTACTGTGGGCACTTTGGTGGTGGGAAAACTATGGTGATCACACCTGAAGTTAGAAATCTCATATTGTGAAAAATCAAACAAGTATGTAAATTAATTGTATATAATTAGTAAAAGGAAAGAAAGGGAAAAAGAAAGGGGAGAGAGAGAGAAGGAAGGAGGAAGGAAGAAAGGAAGGAAGGAAGGAAGGAAGGAAGGAAGGAAGGAAGGAAGGAAGGAAGGAAGGAAGGAAGGAAGGAAGGAAGGAAGGAAGGAAGGAAGGAACTGCCTTTGAGTGAGTGGATCTTTAGGGAAAATATCAACGGGAAGTTTAAGAGAGGCTTTACGTCCAAATGGGCACAGATCTTCCTAGCAGGTGGGAATGTTATATTAAAAGAACATGGAACATGCACTTCCATTTGGCAGAAAGTTCACCAGTGAATAGTCATATACAAGTAGGTGAGGGTTGCAATTTACTACTTAAAGGTTCATATCAATTGATTTAAAGGATAGGCTTTTGATCATCACAGCCTTAATTACTAATCACTGAAGTATAGGCTGTTGATCATTATAGTTCTGGGTAGATCATATGTTAAATTCAAATTAGATGGGAAAAGGTAATTTGTAATAATCTCTACTAAGCCAAGTATGTGTCCCCCCAAAATAGGAAAGTACAATTATTTATAAATGCCAGGGTGGAATAAACATAAGACCTTCTTTTAGTGCATGCTATAATATAATAAAAACAATTAAGTAAAGCCTTAATGACAATTTTACCCAATAAATCCATGCCATTTTTTTCCCAGAAATTTTTTGTTTTGATAGGTCAAGCAATCCATTTTTATCAGGCTTAAATGTGATGCACATATTTTTCTGAGAATTTATACTAAAGACCATTTCTTCTAAGTCAAGAGATCCATGAAGGGTTGGAGATACAGGTTATAACTGTTGGATTACTGCCACCAGGAGTGCCAGAGTCTATAGCCCTGAAGTGCAAGAGGTATGTACAATTCACATCCAAATATTGGATATGTAGATTGCTTAATGAGAGATTGTGTGTTCTTGCATATTTACCAACAATTTTGAAAGCTAACATATGTGTAAATAACATTGATATTTATCTTTACCTCTTCACCTTTAACCATGGACTGCTTTTTTTAATCTAATTATGTAATGTTGACTTACATTGCGTTTGTTTTTTGGAAGTGTAGGGTTCCCCACTTCAGGTGTTTTACCATAAAATGCCCACCACCCACAGTCCACCACTTATTTGTTTCATAGAGCAACCTTGAAGGTCATATTGTCTGAATTTCATGTAAATGGAAAATAAGACTCAAAGTTTGGGGAGAGAATCCTGGGTCACACAATCAATTTATGCCATGGCCAGAAGAACTCAATTTATTGGATTTTCAATTTAACTACTTCACTTCCAGAGAAAATTCCTATATAAAGTTCAAGTATTACTCCAGGCATTTTCTGATTATTGTCATTTGTACCAAAGCACAATGAAAACAATGTAATCTGTGTCAGGCAAAATTTCAACAAGTATAACCTCATTGTGTTCTCCTATAGTGAAATGATAGATAATTAATTTAACCAAATGAAGTGTGCTCTTTGATCTTGTATATGCAAAAAAGAGGCTAAGTTCAGCTAATTGTGAAATAGAGATACCTTTAGATTTTGTCTATTTTTTCTAGGTGTATAGAGTCTTGCAGAAAAAGTAAAGTAAACTAAGATAGCATAATATGCCTGACTTAGGAATGAATGTGAATGGAGAGTAAAGAAAGCTATCTGCCTTTGTAAAGCAGTGAACAATGTTCCCTCTGTTACTATAGACTTAGGTCTTGCTTAATGTTAGACCCAATATATGGGAGGTGTGAAAGCAGTTGAAATGTTTAATATTTAGGCTACTCCATAAGCTGGACAGTATTCTTTCATTTATGTAGTTTAATGTGCTCCATTACTGTAAATAAAATAGAGAAAGAAAAATGAGGCAAATTACAAATTATGATGAAAAAGGATGTGATGTCAGGCAAACTTATAAATGTGTCATCAAAGGTACTGAAATTTGCTTGAATGAGATAAACATGAAGGAGCCTCCCTGGTGGTTCAAGGGATTAAGACGCAGCCTAAGAAGCTATCCAGAGCCACTGCAGCACAAGTTCTATCCCCCACCAGGGAGCTACCCACATGGCACAGAAGACCTCCCCTGACTTGCCTGTTGCTCCCCTCAGCAGTGTATTTCAGTCAATTTTCCTGTTTTGTTCCCCTCTCTATCTCTGGTGAATCCTCTCACCCCCCACACCTCTGGACTGTACCTCAGTTCTTGTATGAATATTTTAAAAAATTTTTAATTTATTTATACAAGAACCGGGGTACAGTCCAGATGTGCGGGATGATGAGAGAATTCACCAGAGACAGAGTGGGGAACAGAACAGGAAGACTGACAAAATACACTGCTGAGGGGAGCAGCAGGTGAGACAGGAGAGGTCTGCCGCACCATGTGGGCATCTATCTCCCAGCAGGTGGGGATAGAACCAGCGCTGCAGAGGCTGCAGATAGCTTCAAAGTGTGATGTTCAACTGCCTGCACCACCAGGGAGGCCCTGAATAAGTAAATCTTAAAAAAAAAAAAAGATAAACATGAAAAGCAGTTCACCTTCTCAAAAATCATCAATCTAAATTATGATTTATGTTGTGTCCTCTCAAGACTATTTTTTACACTTTCATTAGTGCTTATATATCATGAAAAGTTTCAGATTCATATTGCTAACACATTTTATTTAGTAACTATGACAAAGTTATATTATTGACTATAGGTGTGAACACAGTATTCTGAGATTGTCTGGTCCAAATACCTCTGCCATTAACAGTTCATGTGACCATGGGGGCATTATTTTCACTGCTGATTGCTGAAAGGGGTTTTTATTGTGCCTCCCTTCTTAGGTGTATCACAAAACCAATGAGTCAATAAAAATGTAAATACAAAGCATTTGGTACAAGTTACTTTTCAACATGTCATTATCATTTTTATAGTATTTTTTCCTTTGAAATTGATTCAATTTCTCTTAATTTTAGGATGCTTTTAGGAATATGGACTGGTTAGTCAATTTAATTCCCAAACACATGGCTAATAATATCTCACTTTTTCATGTTTTATTTTTAACTACATTAAAAACCATCATAATTGCCAAAATGTATTCTATAAAATCACCTAAAATTATATGAAAAATGGTCATTTTGGTTTTTCCTTAATTACTAATCACTATGAAAAATTTTCAGTTTCACAAAATAATAGGTGACTTACAGGCCCAATGCATGTCCTTGTGCTATTTCTTCTGATTTCTTATTGCTAATGCTAAGTGTTGATGTTTAGTTATATTTCTAATGTGAATTTATTATCATCATAAATTGAAATATATCCCTTAAAATAAACAAAAATAATTACATGACACTGAATGTCTTCCATAGTTGATGACATTCTATGTCTGAATTTGCAAAAGTAATTTCCATTGCCCACTCTATTTTCTCCCATACAATTTTGCCTGCAACATGAAAGAGATGACACCAAAAAAGCAATCATAATGTAGATAGTGACTCACTACATAAATAGTAGATCATCAATATTTGCAACTACAGGGCATATATAGACTAGCTACAGCCATATGACATATTTTGAAAATTGTTGTGATGCCAATTATAATAAAGTTAAAGTTAATGATACTAATTTAAACACATCTAAGGTAGTTTGTTCAAACACGCGCACACACACACACACACAAGACCAGGGTATTTTTGACTGCTACATAGCATCCTTAGGTGTTATGGGCATCACTAGAGTATAATAGCATGAGCAGAATGTCACCTTATCTAATATATTTAAAGAAAATTTGATTTAAAATGATCTGTTTTACTTTAAAACATTCTAGAATGCATTAGAATGGATAAGTTTTCTTTAATCTTTTAGAAGTTCACTGCTTAGTGATTAACCCATATGTCATGTCAAATTTCATGCAAATTCTATCATTTAATTTGGATGATTTTAGGTCATAACAGCACCACCCTCGAACCAATGGAAAGCAACAATACATCCTCCACAGACTTCACCTTCAGAGGGCTATTCATCAACAAGGACATCTCAGGTCTTCTTTTTGCCCTCATTTCTATCATCTTTTTCACAGCACTAATGGCTAATGGTATCATGATTTTCCTAATCCGCACTGACTCACGCCTTCACACCCCAATGTACTTCCTCCTCAGTCATCTCTCCTTCATTGACATGATGTACATCTCCACTATTGTGCCCAAGATGCTGATCGATTATCTGCTGGATCAAAGAATCATCTCATTTGTGGGGTGCACAGCTCAGCATTTCCTCTACCTCACCCTAGTGGGAGCTGAGTTTTTCCTGCTGGGGCTCATGGCCTATGACCGCTATGTGGCCATCTGTAATCCTCTTAGATACCCTGTCCTCATGAGCCGTCGGGTCTGTTGGATGATCATAGTAGGCTCCTGGTTTGGGGGCTCTTTGGATGGCTTCCTCCTAACCCCCATCACCATGAGCTTCCCCTTTTGCAAGTCCAGGGAGATTAATCATTTCTTCTGCGAGGCACCAGCTGTCCTGAAGTTGGCATGTGCTGACATAGCACTCTATGAAACAGTGATGTATGTGTGCTGTGTTTTGATGCTCTTGATACCTTTCTCTGTGGTGATTGCCTCCTATGCCCGAATTCTGACCACAGTCCATCGTATGAGCTCAGTGGAGGGGAGGAAGAAGGCATTTGCCACCTGCTCATCTCACATGACGGTGGTGACCCTGTTCTACGGGGCTGCCATGTATACCTATATGCTGCCACATTCTTATCACAATCCAGAGCAAGACAAAGTCTTTTCTGTATTCTACACCATCCTCACTCCCATGCTGAACCCACTAATCTACAGCATGAGGAACAAGGATGTGACTGGAGCTCTGAAGAGAGCACTGGGCAGGTTAAAAAGTACATAGAGAGTGAGAGGGGATTACTTTTGATAATTATTTTTTGTTTATATGTTTATGGTTTGCCCTAGATGATTGTTGAGTGGATGCCTCAGTGGTCAGTGTGGCTATATTTTCAATGAAGAATGAAACTGGGCAGTGGAGTTCAACTTGGGGAAAAAATCAAGTTAAAAGAAAAAAATGTGTCCTTTTGTTCAACCTTCTTTTATCTCTTATTTCCCCTCTTATATTTCTTTGTCATCCTGTTTATATGTGTTCAAAATCAGTGCTCAGTGGTGTCCAGAAACACAAACTAAATGTTCTTGCTCTACAGTTTTACTTATTGGAAGCAAAACAAATTTAATGTAATTTTAAGTGGCATGAAGTATGTTTAATGAGTGGAGGAGGGAAGATAGTACTGTAGAGGAAGGTAAAAAGTCCCCAACCTTTCTAGGTTATTTTGACTGCCCAAATAATTAAATTGGCAGAAGACATATAGGAGAAAAACAATTTTTTTAACATACAGTTGGTCTCAAATATGTGATACCCTAAAGAAGTGACTAAAAGAAGTTTTAAACATTTTAAACAAAGAAGCAATAAATGAGTGAAGAATTTATAAAACAGAGAAATTTGGAGCAAATCATTAATTATTAAGAAGAACCAAGGCTTGTTTATACAGATTTCTAAGTCCTAAATCCCCACTTTGGTGGTAAGTATGTTTCTCTGTCCTCTGGCACAGTATATTTGGGAGATTAATTGCCTACTTTCTGGGGGGACAAGAGGTGATAGTCACAGCAACATTTTTGTGTTGTATCTAATATCTTTAATATACTTAAGTGTCTTAATTCAAAGTAATCAATATGTAAAAGTGGCATATTTTAATGTAGCCTGTCCTGGATCCTATCAGTGTTTTTGAGATTTACAATACCATGGTAAAACTCTAACTCACCATCGAAGAATAAGAGAAATATCATATTTTCTGCTTTTTAATATAATACTTTGATCCAGCTTTTTAAGAATATGATAATGTGAATATATGTATTCTAGTTTTTCAGCAGTTAGGAAGAGTCACTGAACATAGTCTACTCCAAAAGTCATTGTAAGTCACTACAAGCACTAGGTACTTTCAATTTTATGTAGCAATACAAGATTTAAGTCAAACAGCAAATCAATTGAAATAGATGTATGAAAACAAAGTTCATTGTCCAGGAAAACAACATAGTAGCACTGTATACCTGAAAGAGTTACTAAGATGTTGAAGAAACTTACACAATTATGAATTTTGTGGATTCTAAAATAATACTTCAAAGATGTCACCAAGTCCTGCATGTTAAGCACACAACAGCTGTAAAATAGGCCTTAGCTCATAATACATATCCATGATTCCTACTGGTCCAGGAATCGTGATTTATATCCCATTTGATTATATAAAGAGTTACTGATGGTTCAAAGGGATGACTTTCATTAAGTTAGTCATGATCATAATCGTAAATATATTGGTCAACCTGTCTAAAACTTAGTAATTTATGTCTTTTCAATGTTCAGCATTCTCATATCCTCATAACAAATAAAATATTTCTATCATTATTTCTAACTGTAGAGTAGCAGCTTGAATTAATGTTTTAGATTGCAGGATTTCCAAAGATGTGATTTCTAGAATACTGTATCTTTTAGAAAAGTTTCCTCATTCATTGATTCATTGTTTCATCATGACTGTACTATTTCTTGCCATTTTAACGACAATCTTTCTAGCAGGTATTTCACTATGTTGTACACCTTAAATTAAGGCAATGCTATATGTCAATTTTATTTCAGCAAAACTGGGAATACATAATACAAAATATAGCAAGTGCAAGAAATAAAATAGCACAATAGGCTAGATCAATGAAGGGACACTCAAGTTATGGTATTCAAGGGAGACTTTCTTGGGAGGCTATCTTTAAGCGGGAAAGGAGACATGTGTATGAAGATTCAGGTATCCCGCCTTCCAGCTTAGAAGAATATCAGGAATATATATACTTAAAAATAGAAATTATGTTCAGAAGACTGAAGAGTGAATTGAAATCAGCAATGGGAGACATGGTCAAGTACAGATCAAGAGAGCAAGTGGACTCCATGTGCCTTAGGATAGAATAGGAAATTTATTTACATTGCAATGAAAAGTCATTGATGAATTTGAAACAAAGAAAAGCCAGATAATGACCAACATGCTGAGATTATTATTCTGGCTGCCTTAGAAAGAATGGTTTGTTAGGAAAATCATTAAGCTAGGGAGACCCTTTTGGAGACTTCATGTGTTTGGGGAAGATTTCTTGCTAGTGTGGGTTAGAGTTTTAGTAATGAAGATAAGAAGTACTATAATAGAGTATATATTTTGAAGGAAGGCATGGGTAGTAAACATTAGGTAATGAGTAGACTATGGTGTGTGAGAAAAACATGAAAATCAAGAACGATTCCCCAGGTGTTGAGTCTGAACAATTTAGTAGATGGTGGATTTTTTTATTGAAATAGAATGAAGCAGGATTTGTTTATAGAATTAAGAGGTTTTTTTTTTTTTTTTTTGAGCAAGTTAAATTTGAAGTGTCTGCTGAATATCTAAGAGAAAAACTTCAGATTAGAAGGTAGCTATTTTAGTCTGGATATAATTTGAGCTGTTAGATGTGAAGACAGACCTTAGTAGTCATTGATAGGCAATTACATGTAAAAATGTGGTGAAGCTCTGCAAGCTAGGTGGAAGAGAGCAATACAGAATGCCACTGGAAGGTCTAATTTTCTTGTGAACATCTTTTCAAATATGTTATCGCATTTTCATTATTTTTGCTGCCTAGTGCCTTACTTTTTTACTACAGACACCTGATTATTTCTTGATTATTTTAACATAATCCTAACAGATGGATTTCTCTAGCTGTACAGACAATTTTCACTTCTATCTCATTCACTGGAAACACAGAACAAAGGTCATGTAGTGTGCAGTCTATTCACAATGCTATTTTCTTAGAGACTCTCACTTTTGGCTTTTTGAGGTCAGCAGCATTCCAGAGGACTGTGATATCCAGCTAAACTGTGAACACACACAGATTGTTTGCATGTTTTGGCCAGAGTAGACCAGATACTCCTGGCTACCAATTTGCCAATGAGTTTTTCTTTTTTAAATATTCATCATTTTATTACTTATGCATACACCCATAAACAACATAGTTCATTTTTGCAGATTTTGAACTTCAAAAATGCTGTTACACTGAATTTATTGTTTTGATATTTGCTTCTTTGGCCAATTATTTTACTTGTGATATTCATAATTGTTTTTCTTTTTGGTACAGAAGTAGTTTTCTCATTTTTGATTAGCAGGGGGTATTTTACCAAATGAATATATCCTAGATGTTACATATATCCATTCTAAAGTTTTATAGGTATAGGTTTTGTTTCTAGATTTGGGTTATTGGAAACATTTATATCTATCTATCTCTATCTATCTATCTATCTATCTATCTATCTATCTATCTATCTATCTATCTATCTATCTATCTATCTATCTTCCTATCTGTGTTTGGGGTATACCTAAAGTTGGAATTTATGGGAATTAAAGTACATACTTAAAATCTGCTAGAATCTAGGTTTTTAAATGATTATAGAGATTTATAGTCTTTCCAGAAGTGCAGTTCTTCATTTGGTCAAAATTTGGCATAGAATGAAGTTTTTATTAGCAAATCTGTTGAGTATGTAAGTCTTCCCAATATAGTTTTATACATCTTTATATCTTATTTCTAGTGGTTTAAACATTTAAATATTTAAACATTTAAATACTTATATATTTCTAGTTGTAAACATCCCTATTTTTTGTTGTCTTCTCATACTTCTCAGCCCCTGATTCAGTTTGTTCCAGGTACCCAAAATTAAGAGTATGCCACTAGAAATATACCCAAACCTACTTTTTATTGGTTTGGTCTATTAAAATTATTATTTTTAAATGCCTATTCAAGTATTTTTTATATTTCCTATTAGATTTCTGGCTTTACCGAGATGAATGGTTTTAATAAATGTGCTGAATTTTTTTTTTATTATGTGATATATATTAAAATAAGCATGTGACTTATCCTTATACTTATTTGATTGTATTTCAATTGTCAACAGTTTCGTTATGTCACTGCTTTTTTTGCATCTTGCTTAAGTAATTCTTCAATGTCATAAAGTCATGAAGATACTCCACTATCTTACCTTATAAAAGTGTCAAAGCTTCTGGGCCTCCCCGGTGGCGCAGCAGTTGATTGCTGGGCTGCGAGGCTGCCCACAACCTCTGCAGCACCAGTTCAATCCCCGGCCACCAGCGAGGGTCCCACATGGCGCACAGACCTCTCCTGCCGCCCGCTGCTCCCCTCAGCAGTGTACTTTCGTCCTTCTGCCTGTTCCGCTACCCGCTCTGGCTCTGGTGAATTCTCTCACCCTCCCACACTTCTGACTGTACCCAGTGCTTGTATAAATAAATAAATCTTTAAAAAAAAATAGTGCCAAAGCTTCTGTGTTTACACATTCTTATCATTAGATGTATGGTATACAGAAGGCAAATTTTCAATGTTGTTTCAATGTTGTTTATGAAAAAGAAAATTTCCCATTAAAAAAAATTATTGGTAAGTTTCCCCTTTGCTTTGTGGTGACTTGGCTGTCCCTTTACAATCACAATGTTCAAAATATTTTTTCTAGTCTTGATGTCCCTGATTCCTAACCTCACATTCTCTCTCATGAACTCTCTATTCAATATTGATCATATTATTTCAGTGATGTCCACATGCGTAAATCCAATAATTCTCAGTCTTCATTATATTTGATCATCAACTGAGAATGGTGTGTTTACTTGTTTTTGCTTCAAGTGTGCTATATTACGGCATTTTTTTTCCTATCACACTATTTGTTTTTCCTTCTAAAATTTCTACTTTTTATTTGCTTGTTTCATTTCTCCAGGCTCATTTATTAATATGGGAGTTCCCCTGACTTACTTACCAGCCACCTTCTAGCTTTTTCCATACCTCAGTCCT